ATAGAGAAAAAAAAGCGAGAATACCCAGGGGTCTTAAATAATCTAATACAATGCAAAATTTTTCTCTACATTAGCGAAAAATCTGGTATGATATTAGATTACTTAAGACTCTTAGGTATTCTTGTTTTTCTTCCAAGCTGTAACTTGGCTCGTGGTACACCGCTATTTCCTGTTGCCATTTATCTTGCAAATTATTTTTAGCAACTGCACTCGATGGGCTTATCATGTACGAATGGCGATAAGATCAATTATAATTATTCAAGTAATTAAATTGATGCAATGGCAAAATTTTACATTTATGAGAGATTTTTGTACGCATTTTTAACATACATGCATTCATGCGTACGAGTTGTACATTCCGTACTTATATAATTCTCTATTATTTAAGAAAACAATTCTTTTCAATTATTTAACAAACGTCAGTTAAAAAACAAATGCCTTCGTAATATTAAGTTAATAAAATACACTCAAAAAATTTTCAATTGATTCTAACAATAATGGGCCAAGTTTAATCCGACAGTTGAAATTTTAGGCCTAAAGCATGATACATGTATCGCATAGAAAATAACAAAATTAAATTATATTCATAAATACGCAAATTCAATTTTGAAGCTATATTTAATCATATTTCTCGGATCAATAATTTAAGTAGCCAATAATTGTTACAATTAGTCTTATTGCCAGGCGTTTGTATGCACTTGTAACAATAGAGACTACAAGGTTTTTTTTTACTACTTTTCGTTGCTGTTTTGTTACTCTCTAACTAGAGAGTTTTCCATAGATATTTTTTATTTGCACACATTTTTAAGCTTATAAATAATGCGTACGGCGCAAAGACACGGCGCGTTTTTGAACGTGACGATTGGTGGCGATCAATCGCGGCCGAAATAATAACACGATATACATTTAGCACAGGGAAAAAAATCAGCGTGACTCCGAATTTTCAGACCGAGGCGTTTAGCTCTGAACAAAATTTATTCGATTCTGAAATCTGACAATTTGGATAGGATTTTCCCATGGGGCGCGATCGAGGATGCGTGGGAGGGCCACGATTACCGTAAAGCTAAATGGCCGAATAAATAAGACTCTAAAAACGTTTCGTTATACATATACGAGCTCGTATTCGAGCTTGCAGTGTCGCCGCTAATATTTTTGCGTGCACGAGAGAGGACGTGTGCTATCGATTTCGTTGCAGTTACGATTGCGACGGCGAAAGTTTATACGTAGCGAAGTCGCGTAATAAATAATGGAATGGAAAAAATATTGCGTATAACAAGAGTTACGAGTTTTATTATATCGTTGCGCTCGAAGCAATAAACGTGTCGCGACGCTCAAATGCGATAGATAAAAATAAGAGACAAAGGAACGAGGGACGAGCATTATTCGCAAAGAGATCGATTCTATATCGCAATTACGTAATAACAGGACCAAGTCGAAGCGAAGGGGGTGCGAGTCGCGAGATGCGCCAAGACGAGCGAGAAAAATCGCGGGATTGGCGAGTTTTTATAGTAAAATTTTTATCACCGAGAGCGGAAGATAAACCGAACCGATTCCGCGATGAGGGGGCGATATCGCTCCCTGCGCGGGCGGCGAGTGTCGCGCGAAGAAAAAAAGTCGAATTGGTTGATAGCGCATGTTATGCACGCTATCAACAATACATATGAGGAAGAAGGCAAGGCAAGGCAAGGGTGAAGGGTGAAGGGATGTATGGAACGAAGAGGAAACGTTTCAACACCGACCATGATGCTTTGACGTCCGTAATCCCAGGCCATTGATTCGTTTGGTTAGTTCGGCGCTAGCACGCTCGACGACGCCCTGCGCCGATATCGAAGACATGATATCTTGACGAGGCACTCTTACTCTTTCTCTCTTGTCTCCTTCCGCACTTGTTGTCAGGTTGTCAGGTTCAGTTGCGTCCAGTTGCGTCCGCGATTCGTAGTCAAGAGCAATACGATACGATCTGCGGACGACGGGATCGCCTCATATTCGATCCGATCTGATACCTATAACAGTCCGAGTCCAAGTCCCCGAGTCTTCCTCGCGCGAATGACAAGTATGAGAACTTGACGACTGCGGACGTCGTGCGCCGGCGGCGGCGGCGACGCGCTTTCAGTAGTTTTCAGGGGGATGATAGCGCGCATACGAAGCGAAGGGATGATGATGATGACGATGATAGCGCGCGTGCGCGCGCGCACTCGCGCGCGCCCGTGAAATTTACGCTATTTTTTTCTATTTCTCAGCGCGCGTCATAACGATGATCCTACATAATCCTTCCTTCTCGGCCTTGAAAAAAGAAGCGAAAAAAAAAACCAGGAAAATAAAAGCACAAGTTACCCGGCGAGAATCAATAATCGCGATTGGCGCGGAATAACCCGCCACGTAATTCGCGGGATATCCGGCGATGTACGACCAGCACCGCCAGCACCGCCAGCACGGCTGACATTGACGATGCCGAGCCGAGCTACCTCGTATATCAGCGATATATTCCTGTACGTCTCTGTTTACGTGGTGGCGGGCAATAGCAATGGCATTGCGAGCGGTGCGGGTGCGGGTGCGGGCATGGCAAAAGCGAAACTCGACTCTCGATGACTCTCGAGGTCTCGAGCGCACCGCTGCCGTTGCACACGTAAGGGTGGTTTGCGCGAGACTGAATCGATATTCGCGTTGCTGTCGCGTTGCTCAACTTATCCGGTTGCCACTTCCCCACCCTCACTTATCGGCTG